ACACTCTCTGCATTATAGCTTGCACTAATAACTGTTTCACCATCAAGAATATACAGACCATTATTCAATATCCCAGACAATGCTGTTGCATTGTTCTTGTAATATCTCACTTTACCATCTCCACCTTCATGCTTGTAACCAAGCTTGTCAAGAGTACCAGTGGAGATAAGATTTCTTCTCAAATCAGGGACATACTTGACATTATTCAACACCCTAATAGAACCACCATGAGTGTTAATACGGATTGTGCCAATTCCCTGAGATTCCACTGAGTGATTATCACCAAGTAAGATAGTCGTTTTATCATTCTCATCAAAACTGCTGAACCAGTCTCTCCTAGCTGTCATGTGTGAAGTACACCCTGAATCTAGAATCCATAAATCTTTGACCAACTGATTATTCACACTTAGAGCTTCTGAAAATACTAACTTCTCTGTGATAACACCAGCTTCATTCTGACCTTGACCTTCATTCTCCATTTTCCTTTTCCTAGCATAGCAATCCTTTTTAAGATGCCCTTCCTTTTTACAGAACCAGCAGGTAGCTTTTGATTTTGAACTAGACCTGCTTCTGCTTCTCCCTTTAGATCCCTTCTTCTGACTTCTTTCAGCCGGTCTTCCTCTATCTGAGGTATATAGCACAGTAGAGGATGATCTTTCAGAACCTTTTTCTTCAGCTAGCTCTCTTTCCAAAGACTTAGCTGAGGACACAACATCTTGAAGAGCTAAAGTCTTGTTTCCATATTTCAATGTGTGCTTGAGTTGTCTGAAGCTAGCAGGTAGAGAATTCAACAACAAAATTGCTTGAACTTCTTCTGCGACTTGAATCTCCAAGCTACCTAACTCAGCAACAATCTTCAAGAAATCATCCACATTCTGATCAATCGTTTGAGACTCAGCCATCTTGAAAGAATAGAAATTCAATTGAACATAGATCCTATTTGGTAGAGAGGTTTCCATGTACAATTTATTCAACAAACTCCACATTTCAGCTGCAGTTTCACAGTGATTTATCTTTCTGAGTACCTTGTCACCGATATGATTGATGATGATGTTAAGAGCCTGCTGGTTCTTATCAATCTTGATCGGGTCAGGCACTTCTTTGGTTTGCGGTACATCGGAATCTGAGGGATCTCCTCCTGCTGGTTTCTTCAGCTCACTCTTGGATAGAGGCACAATCTTTGTTAAAGATGGGTCAAGGATGATGCTCTTCAGTCCGAGAACACCGAGCTGTGCCAGTATCCTGATCTTCCACAGCGAGAAATCTGAATCGCCATTGAACGTCTTTATCTCGAACTTTGTCGTCGTCGTTGCCATCGATCGATTCAAGAGCGGAACCTGGCTCTGATACCAATCTGTTAGAAATCGAGTATCAAGAACAACGATCTGAGATGAACTCTAACTCGAATCTATCTTTTGAATACGATCGCTTTGTGTTTGAGTTTGTGCAAGTAAAGAAACGAGAACAAAGAACACACGATTTGTTACCCAGTTCAGCGTGATCGATGTGATCACACCTACGTCTGGGGCCGAATCAATCCGGTAAATCCACTATCAAAATGAGTAAGAACCAGCTCGAACTTGAGCTTTACAACAATGGCGGATCTCTCTCACAAGTCTCTCTCTCTCTCGATACAACAGACTTGAAACAGAAAAATATGAATAAGTGATAAGAGATGAAACGATCCGTTTCAGAATATAACAAACTCTCCACTGCAGTTAGAGACTTTGCATTGCTTCTTCTTTATCCGGTTCAATCAACAATCTTTTAAACCGGAGATAACCGCCTGATCAATTCTTCTAAGCTTCAATCAAACCAACCAAAGCTAATAGGATTTGAATCAGACCTGAACCTTCAACAGTGAGGTCTTGAACTAAAGAAAAACTCGGCTTCTGCATGTAGCTTTAGGTATAGCTTCGCTTGTTTTTTTTGGTGTTCGTTTACTCTCACTCGTCTTGTAAGAAGAAAAAAGTCGTTGCAAACATAGTAGGAGTTCGTTTTTGTATATTTTTGTAATAAAAATGGATAGTATAAGTCAATAGTCCCAAACATAGTAGGAGTTCATTATATATTCTCTCAATCATATAACTTGGAGTATGTATTAAATGTTATCTTCGATACAAATAAATCACGTGAGATTCGAACCCGGATCCGAGATGAAGGCGTCCGTGTTTGGGAAACATCCAAGCTGCAGCAATTTTTGACTAAGTCCAACCGTCCACGTAATAACCACTTTAATATAATGTTGTTAAGTTTGCAAAGATTTGACATTGCTCAGGGGGATTTATTGAATCACAGATTTAGCTTTATTTCTAATGACTTTGGATTTGGTTAGACTATAGGTTCTTCTAAAGTTTATTATATGACTTTTTAATATTGTCTACGATTTATTAAAAATGTAATGTTTAGTTTTTGGAAGACTTTTGTGTATTTTGCGCGACATGCATGATATAAAAACAAATTACTATTATCAAAATGAACTTATAAAAATTGACTCAAATGTAAGTAAAATTTTTGTATGTACATTAATAATAATAAAATGTTTGAGTGTAAAAAAGCCATGCAAAAAAAAAAACAAAAAGAACAAAGAGTAATATATCTACGTATCAGGCCTTTTAACAAAAAAAGAAAAAAAAAATGTGCGTACACACTTTTCACAACATAAGTCAGAACCAAATTCTGTAAAAATGTGAACTGAAAATACTTTTCATGAAGTCATCAAATATAAAAGGTCAACTATAAAATTAAAAGTCAGCAAACATCTCGATCGTCCAAGAGACGACTTTTCCAAATTGTTAGGCCCTCTTGTACTTAAGTAAGAAGATGCAGTAGTAGTGGCTCGACCGCGTCCACATATTTCAATGGGAGTTGCGACTTTTCTTGTATGGCGCCTCACACGCTCTATATAGGCATAACACAACTATCTTCGTTTTAAGACTACTTCTTGGTTTTTCCATATTCTCTACACAAAATCAAAATGTTGACTCACACCATTTCTAAATCCAAATCTTTGGTAACCATTTTGTTAGTTCTACAAGCTTTCTATCACACATCAAAAGCACAAAACTGCGGTTGCTCGTCGGAGCTATGTTGTAGTCAGTTCGGATTTTGTGGTAACACTTCAGACTATTGCGGTGTAGGCTGTCAACAAGGGCCTTGCTTTGCTCCTCCTCCTGCAAATGGTGTCTCTGTGGCTGAGGTTGTTACGCCAGATTTCTTCAATGGAATCATTGGTCAAGCCGAGTCTAGTTGCGCCGGCATCGGATTTTACAGTAGGGGAGCTTTTCTTGAGGCCTTAGAATCCTATTCTCGTTTCGGTAGGGTTGGATCGACCGATGACTCTAGGCGCGAGATCGCATCGTTCTTTGCTCATGTCACGCATGAAACTGGACGTAAGTGATATATTATTTCTTCATTTTACTTTTTTTTTTTTCATTTTACGATGCGTACACATGCATGTTCTCTATTAACATACCAAACAGAAAAAATTATATGAAAAACATTAGAAGAACTTGTTTTTGTTTAAAATAATCATTAGACTAAATATATAACACGTTCAAGTAGATGTATATAAGCGATACTTTTCATCAATTATACACTTTTAATCGTCCGGTCCATATATAGCACAATCACTTATATAGTAGAAACTTGACTTGTAGTAACATTCGGCTTTTGTTTTAGATTTCTGCTACATAGAAGAGATAAACGGAGCCTCGAAGGATTATTGCGACGAGACAGCAACACAATATCCATGCAATCCTAACAAAGGCTATTATGGTCGCGGACCAATCCAACTCTCTTGGAATTTCAACTACGGGCCAGCCGGGACAGCAATTGGTTTTGACGGTCTCAATGCACCAGAAACAGTAGCCACGGATCCAGTCATATCCTTTAAGACCGCCTTGTGGTACTGGACCAATAGGGTTCAGCCCGTTCTCCCTCAAGGTTTTGGTGCAACGATCCGTGCCATTAACGGTGCTTTGGAATGTGATGGGGCCAACACAGCCACCGTTCAAGCTAGAGTTGGCTACTACACCGATTATTGTCGTCAACTTGGCGTCGATCCTGGAAACAATTTAACGTGCTAACAAAATATATCTAGTAATCTATATTTCTGTATACAAAAAAGTGAAAAAAAGACAAAGCTTTTAAGAATGTAACTCATTAATGTTTTGATGTTTTGTCCCATTAATGTTGAATATTAAAATCCACATTATTTTTAAAAAAAGATAAAAACAGAGAAAGTCTATACAGAATCCTATGAAGTCGTTTCATCGTTTTTGAGAAAGACAAGGGAAGGCTTTATTGTGATCAACACCATAGTAATGAAGAAAGCCTTTGAAGACATGACCACTAATGGTTACTGTCGCTTGATAACCAATCTCTGCTTGCTCGTTGTTGCTTATCGCTGTTACTCTCGTCCGTTTAAATACCGCCGGAGCTTCAATTTTTCCCGGTAATCCCTCTTTGAAGCTTCTCTCTGCAATTTCCCACACAAAAGACCACGACTTTAGACTAAAAATTGATTCTTTTTAATTCATTTTAATTCCAAATCTCATTACCTTGACGAGAAGAGGTTGTCTGAACGAGCGAGACATTAGTTGAACTCTGTTTGTCGATTTTGAGCTTCTTCTTCCTCTCAGAAGGAGAAGATGAAGAACGAATTGCAGAAGAAGGAACCCACGTGCTCTTCACGTGCGTAGCACAGTTGTATCCTCTGCTTTTACAACAAGTCCTACACCTTTCGAACAAACACTCTTTCTTTGCTCTGTTTCCACAGTCTCTGCACACTTTCTCTGCTTTGTTTTCTTCCACTGCCGCGAGGTTTACCGGCGACGGAGACGGACGTGCTATCTGCGGTGGTGGAGATAAGAGAATGATGTTTCGAAGACCTAGCATGTAGTCTGGAGTACTGACTCCGACAGCGACGGAGGAGGAGGAGTGATCAGGTGCGATTGAGGCGGCGGCGAAAGGTGTTGAAGATGGTGATGGGTGTGGTGGTGGTGGCCATGAGAGGGAGGAAGGTGGATTTGCCACTGTGGCAGTAATATAAAAGCGCGTGGAGACTATTGTAGTAGGTGGAGCTTAGCTATGGAGGAGTCTAGTGAGTAGTAGTAGTGAGAGACAGAGAAAGAAACAACATTAAGCTCACTACTAGAGCAATAATAAGATGAGTGAAAAAGAAAAGTTTTTTTTTTGACAGAGTTTTGTGGTCACATGTTCAATGGATTCAAAAGTCTGCAGAAAATGAAATTATTATCTCTTGGAGTGGGTGGTCCACTTCATTGGGAAAGCACCCGTCTAAAACGGCTTTTTTGCCACATTTTATAATCCCACGTTGTGGGTCTATGTTCTTAAGCTTTGATACTCAACTTTTAATTTGACTACAAACCTTTTGAACTGTTGATTACTTGATTACTTTCATTGTTGGAGATAGATTCGTTGACGTTGACGGCTCTGTTTGGTTTGGATGGATAGTTTGTAACATTCACAGTAGAACAGAGTATCACAAAAAAAAAGGATTATGCAACCGGTGGAATGTTTTTGTTTATTTATATTCTTCACTTGAAAATATTGCACACTCACGTCTAGTGTGTTATAGACTTACAGCATTCAACTCATATGCAATAAGAGTTTTCTAGCAGGGAAGTTGATCCTTGTAGATGTCCAAGACTGAAGTGCCTGCAGTTATTGGACACAATCTGAGAGAAAATGAATATGGTTGTGGCGGAATCAGATACTTATCGTGAACACACGGAGTCCAGCTATCATCTCCCCCAAGACCCATGTGTTTGTGGTCCAGATGCACCTGCACAATTCATCATCCAAATGACAAAGTCAAAAGTTAATCCAATGCAAACACAAACAAACAAACAACCAAGGCAACTGATCCTCTGGTGCTTGATTTGCCATTGCTATTCTTCAATCCAAAGAAAGCTGATCAAGAAAATGAGGAAAAGAAAAAGATTACTACCTCGATGTTTTTTCCTTTGATAAGATCCTCTTCATGCGTTGCACGATGAAGCTCACCGGTTGTATAGTAACTAGCATTCATCTGCATTGGGGAAGAACTACCATATGTTGAAACATAAATTCCTAGACCATCCTTGTTTTGGAATGTCACCCACCTAACATCTGTTCTACCTCCGGATTCTCCTGGAACAATATAAGGGACATGCATGTCTCCAACATTGTGTTCATATATTGCCACATGGGCTGCTGATTTTCGGTCTGGGTAACACTCATATGGACCTTTTCCATACCATTTCACACGGTCCAATGTTTTTTCAATGTGGAATTCTATACCAACACGTGGTAGCGGTGGAAGATCAGAGTTTGGTTCGACAATCCAATTGGTGATGATATCTCCGGAACCATATATCAGATATGTCACATTGACTTTGAATAAGGCTTCTGACTTTGAAGAGCCAGAAGCTGAAGAACCAAGGTAAATGAACTCTATCTCTACGGATTTATCAGTGATGCTCTTTACTGAACAGCTTTCAACAAGAAACTCCACATCATCCAACTGTGCTGCTTTCCACCTCGAAAAATAACTAGAGTCACCTCCACCTTTATCATTGTCTGTAGGTGCTCGCCAAAAGCATGGCAGTATAGCTTCGTTCATAAGGAGAACTCCTTGAATCTGTTACGTTAAGAACATAAACATGCTCATTTAAGCTGAAATAATTTCCACTAAAACACCAACCAAGAAAATTTCTTCAACATTGAATTTGATTTCTTGTTTTAGTTTTCCGTTTAGTACTTTTCTTCTTACCATTGCCTAGCTAGATAGATTTCTTATTCCTGTAGTAGTTCTTTCTTTGCGACAACTATGTCCATAACAAACTTTAGACCCTAACAGTATCATTTACTTAAGGAGCCTACATGCCTTGAGTATGTAAGACTTCTTCCCTATAACTCAATGCATTAAGAAATTGTTTAAGAGCTTCCCAGTCAAAAAATAAAACAGACAAAAACTTACCTTCCAACCTTCAATAGCTCCTTTTCGAACATTTATCATTAGCTCCCATGAATCTTGCTGGCTGATCTTAATGAAATCTCCAACAGTTTCACAAGCGATAATAGTGTCTGTCTTTTTTAACGCCTAAAGTAGGATATTACTTAGAGTTCTCAGGACTTCATATTTTTTTAGCGGAATGAAAAGAGGTCTTTCGAAAAGATATATAACTTGTAAAGTATGTCAGAAATACCTGTGGTATTATTTGTCTCTTTGCTGGTAAAGGAATCTGCGTTGAGGACACGAGATGACCAGTTTCAAGTGAACGAGTAGGACTTAAAAGCTTGGCAGTTATTGTCAGAAACAATTCTCCAGCATTTGAGTCATTCCAGAAAGAAAACCATGGACCTGACTTCCACTCCATATCAAAACTATTTTGTGGCTTTATCACAGGAATGGAGAGAGCCCCAGATCCAAGTTCAAGACCATCCCCATGAACTGTCCAGCTAAACTCCAATTCTTCTGTTGTGTGGAAAAAGTAAGTGTTTGCTACCTGCAAAAATAAAGTTTGAGCTACATAGATAGTACTTAACACCAATGCCAACTGGGGAGATGTATATTAAATTGTACCTTCATGGTGCCATCCGTCAACGAAACGTTGATTGGTTGATAACAATACTTAACCTCTTAAGCAGCACAGAAACATGATGCAAACAGAAGAAAGTCAGTGCCGTTCGAAAATATAGCATGGTCAAATATTTAGAAAAAGGGAATATATATAATACGATTCATATTTATATTCCTTATTCTACTTATTTCGGATAATCGGATTCCATTTCTTTACTAATTTCTTTAACTAGAGCTTTAGAGGGTATCAGTGCTCTTTTCAATCGAGAGAAAAGCTTTTAAGCTTTCTTGGCGTCTTTGTCAAGAGAAACCTTTCTAACGATTTTGATGATATAGCTCTGATTTGTTTTTATAAAATAAAGAAGAACTTTTGGTTTTCCTTAGTGACTCCTAACTCTACCAATTGGTCAGACCTAACGACATACAAGTGTGTGCCTAAAGATATGACTGCTACTCGAACAGAGAGAAGTTTGGACGCGTTAGAGGAATATCACAAAATTCTTTGTGAAAAGTTGGATGGTGTACAAGCTAGTTTAAAGGATGTTTCAGATGCAATTATGGGGCTGAAAACAATGGTTGCTGCAATTCAAGGGGACTCGATATCTGAGGTATCTCAAGAAAATTCTGCAGATTGTGTCCCTATAAACAACAAACAATGTACCATAAAGAAGTTAGACAAATATGATACCGAATGCAAGACTCAAGCAACAGAGATTTCCATGTTAGATACAAAGGGAGAAGCTGTCTTCTCGAAGCTCCAACCTTGATGAGGAAAGTTTCTGTGGAAAGTGGAAACGTTGGCCCAAAGTTGTTTGTGGAAACCAACAAAGTTAACTGATGTTCCGCCTTATTTTGATTTTGATGAGGATGATTTCATTGTTTTGGAAGGGCGTGCTTTGGAATGAACTCTGATTCCAGCCTTGAGGACAAGGCTGCTTTTCAAGCATTCAGCAATGATAAGTTGATAACTTATATATAGCTATTTATTTCTTTATTAGTTTCTTTACTAGAGTGCTTTGCTTTTAAAAATCTAATAAATAAGTATGAGATCTCGGTTGTGAGACTCATCCAAGCTAGAGAGAGCTTGGGTTTCAACAGAGGAAAATGCTTTTAAGCTTAATTATTGGCTTTCCCGATGGACATGATTGTAACGATTTAGGTTCTATAATCATTTGCTTCTAAGGATGGAAAAGCTTTTAGTTTTCTTCTGTAATTCTTAACTATATTAAGATCTTACCATGGAGTGCTGGATGAGGAGTTCGGTCAGGCCATATAAGCCCATTGAGACAGAAGTTCAAATCATTAGGTTGGTCACCAAAGTCTCCTCCATATGCCCAACGCTTAATGCCATCTGACCCCGGTTTCAGTAGCCCCTAAATGACAGAAACATACTAATATTCAATTACAGATTACCAAGAGAAGTGCATTTCAATTTTAATCCAAGTTTAATCCATGGATTTGGCTGCACATACATATCTACTGCGCTTATTATAAGGATTTTACCGAAGACCTACTTTATCTTTATGTTACAAGAGTAAGAAATTTCAGTTCATCAGTAATAGAAGAGATTAACAGGTCTAGTTAAATTGTTATGGGCATAACTATTGTATGAAGAATCAGCTTATACTAAAATTTAAGATATGAACCTGGTCAACCCAGTCCCATATGAAACCTCCTTGCAGGCCAAAGGTATTGTCAATTGCCTCCCAGTACTCGTCTATATTCCCGTTGCTGTTACCCATAGCATGTTGATACCTGCGAAGAAAATAGCTCAAGTAGACACGAAAGAAGCAAGAAATCTAAAAAATGATGTAATATCGTCACTATATATATGATGCCAGTGGAATTCAGGATAAAGTAATGGAAGCCTGAAGAAATTGATCAAACATACTCGCATAATATCAATGGCCGTGATTCATTTTGATCAAGTGCAATCTTGACGATGTCCCAAACTCGCATGTACATAGGGCAGATTATATCAGTAGAACTTGTTCTGGAACCACCACCTTCATAGTGTACCAACCGTGAGGGGTCCTTTTCCCTAATCCAACCTAATCCACAAGTTCAACAACAATAACTGTAAGATAAAATGGATAGAGGAGCTGGAAAATACAAGAATATGCAGGAAAATTCTCCATCAGATAAGCTCTTATCTGGCCAGATAATTTTCATATAAGCTCTTACTTCAGCTTTTGGCCAGATAAGAGCTTGTAGATTATTTTTTCATATATAAAATCACATATCTCTGCCTTTAAAATTGAAAAGTTAACTCAAGGAAAAGACATATATACTGAAAAAGATAATAATATTTGTCTCCTCCAAATCAAAGTAAAAATCATAGAAAGAAAGAAAAATTTCGAGAACAGAATTTGGAATCAACTGCTTACCTGCCATGGCAGAATGATTAGGCCCATAACCAGCCTCGTTTCCCAGTGACCAAGAAACTATACACGTATGGTTTTTGTCTCTCTCAACCATCCCAACTACTCTATCTAGCATAGCAGCTGCCCAGCTTGGCTCTTTCGCGGGGTGCTTCAGATGCCCCGAGAGATCAAAACCATGTGTCTCTATATTGGCTTCATCGATCATGTACATGCCGAACAAATCGCATAATTCATACCAGCGGGGATGTTGAGGATAATGACTGTTTCGCACCGCATTGATATTGTATTCTTTCATCATGATCAAATCCTGGGAACAGTAAA